CTTTACCTCTTCACTGGTCTCAGTCAATGATTGCGTTTGTTATGGCAGAATTGATAAAGCTTTGGCCTTCCAGTTGTTGTTGGACTTCAAATCCCAGCAGCCACATCCAGCATGGCCATTGTTTGGGTTAATGGGAGTTGTAATTTAGCAATATCAAGAGTGCCAAAATATCCACAGCCCTGTCTTATGATCTGTTATGCACATCTATGTCCTCTTTCTTGGTTGCCACTAAGTGTCAGGGCTGGAGTCATGTGTAGGTCAGCAATAAAACAATAAATCACTTAGGCCAATGAAGTTAACCTTTTATATAAGGAAACAAGCCACAGCTTATGCCTAGTGGTCTCAGCATCTCTTTTTATGAGGGCTTGCTCCAAGGAAGCAGCTGCAAGGACTGAAGGTCCCCACCTTCCCTCAGCTCCCTAAGGCTCCTATCCTAGTTCCCTCGCCAGTAGCCTAAGGCTTCACCTTCTTGCTGCTCATTGCCTGCCCTCTCTTCATTTCTCTGTGTGTTCTGGGAGAACAAGAGGGAGAAGAGCAGGTTGTGGCAGCAGGAGGAGATTCCCTGTCTTCTTCCACAGCCTGCCTATATGCAGCCTCTTGACCCCCCCTCCTCTCCAGCCTCTGAGTCTGCACTGCTCTCTGCCACAGCTTCTTCCTGCTCACTAAACTCTGTTGCCTCTTCTGCTCCTCCCAGTGTGCTCCTTCTCCCTCTGACCACTCAATGCCATCCCACTGCCAATCCCCTGGATTGCCAATCCCCTGGTTCTGAGGCTTCTTCCTCTGGGGGTTCCCTAGCTGGTGCCTCCCCTACCCCTCTGCATCCAGCCAGTACATGACACCTAGCTACTTTACTCGATAACCATTTTCTCCTTTTCAGATAGGAACACATTCTCATTATTGTTAAGTACTCATATGAGAGAGGCAAACAAATTGTGGAGCCACTGAGCCGCAAACAGTAATTCACGGCCCTGGCCTTGAGCTCCCTAAGTTCTTCTCATTCTCTCTCTCTTTTTTTAAAATAATATTTATTGATTTTCCAACCATTTAAACACAATAAAACAGAAAAAACAAAAAAAGGAAAAGAAAAAGCAAAGCAAAGAAAAGAAAAAACATAAGATTAACAAAATAAGATGCAAACCATTTAAAACACAAAACAATTTCAATATCTTAACTTTCATTCCCTTATTTCCATGACCTCCTCACACCTCCCTTTTTGTATTCCACTTCTATTAATTGTTTCAGCAATTCCTTTCCACCTTCCTCTGTTTTCTATCCTATAATTATCTTAACATATTCTAATCTTATTTTTCCCTTTAATACTCTATTAGTCTATTTATACTTAATTCCTTATAACATTTCTACTAAAGCCATATAACTTCATTCCAACATTTTTCTAACATTCATTATTTTTACAATATTTCTATAAATAGTCTTAAACTTTTTCCAATCTTCTTTCACTGTCTCTTCTCCCTGGTCTCGGATTTCTGCCAGTCGTTTCCGCCAATTCCATATAGTCCATCAACTTCATCTGCCATTCTTCCCGGATAGATAAATCTTGTGTCTTCCAGTACTTCACAATGAGTATTCTTGCTGCTATTGTTACATACGTGAAAAGAGTTCTATCCTCCTTTAACACCAATTGGCCGACCATGCCCAGAAGAAAGACCTCTGGTTTCTTCAAAAAGGTATATTTAAATGCCTTTTTCATTTCATTATGAATCATCTCCCAAAGTGTCTTAATCCTTGGGCATGTCCACCAAAGGTGAACTCTAATCCTCAAATTCGTCTGTTTTTCTTTAAGTTCAGTCATAGTGGTGGAGTCTCCTTCTTTGGAGGTCTTTAAGCAGAGGCTTGACAACCATATGTCAGGAGTGCTCTGATGGTGTTTCCTGCTTGGCAGGGGGTTGGACTCGATGGTCCTTGTGGTCTCTTCCAACTCTATGATTCTATGATTCTATGATTCAAGCGTCAACTTATATTCATCAAGTTGCTTCTGTAGGGCTGGGGCTCTCTTACTCTTTCTCTCCAGTTGTGTTTCTTTACATTCAGCAACAACAGCTTTTTCCCTGGCCTCCTCCGCAGTTTGCCGTATCGAAATAGGTTCCTGTGTCAATTTCTGGGTAGTTTCTGTATTAGTATTATTTATACTTTCTATATTTAAGTTAGTTTTAATGATTGAAACATCCACTTTCGCATTTATCGTGTCCATTTTCCTGTGAAGCTGATCCAATGAATCATTTATCTTAAATAATGCCGCCACTAGAGCCTCTTCTGTCAACATTTCTCTTGGTTTTACATATACTGGTACAAAGACTGCAACAGAAAAAGCAGGGGGGCCTGATGGTGGACCTCTCCTGGATTGTTGCCAAGTCCTCCCAGACCTTAATGTTTTGTCAGCAGTTGACTGGTCTGTTTTTCCTCTTCCATTAACCATAACACTTAAAAGATTCAAGGTCAGTCCCAGAGTCTCACGGTTTTTAACTTGCAGCTGGAAATTTCCCTAACCCAACTCTTGTAAAGCAACCGGTTTCAAAGGCTTCCACTAGGGGAAACAGTTTCTATTTGTAATAGTCAATAGTATCCTCTTTTAAACAATCCGAAAATTAGTTTCAGTTAGTTTCAATTTTCAGTTACTTTTACTCCTTTTTAAAGCAGCCGGAAACAGTAGAAACAATGTATTTCTCTTGTTTAACTAGCTGTCAATGAATGTTCTAAACGCTGTCAATGAACATTCCAAAATACATCAGTCCTACTAGCAGCCCATTTCCAGGGTCAGAGCGGCGGTGTTTTAGATCTCTTCGCTCTCTCCTGCAGGCATATTCAGTCCACAACTTCCCCCCCTCTTCTCCTGCCTCCAAAGGGGGGTTTTGTTCTTTACCGATGGAAATTTAATCTTTTACAAAAGACTTTCCAGGACTCCAGCTTGCAACTTCATTGCCTCAGTCTATTTACAAAAGGGGAAGGCGGACTTCCTGTTTTGAACCTCCCCGCTTCGATACCAAATTATACTTTTAAAAATCCAATTCTCCCGTTTCAGCTCTACTCACGGGTAATTACTTTAAATTGTCCACAGGAAAAAGTCAGCGCTCTCCGGCAACGGCTGTGCGGCTTCGCTCCGTGGAAGAAGCAGACGATTCGAAGCACCGCACCACTCACCCCACATCGCTCCGGAGCCCCGAAAACGGGTTTCCCCATGAGTAGGGGAGGCGCAGAAGGTGCCCGCCGAATCCCACGTACACAGGCTTCTCCCGCCTGTGATTTTTCGGGTCTCCGCCTTCACCGTGGCGGTCCAGATCCAATTTCCCATGGGGCAAATTCCTCCCGGTCAGAGGAATTCCGCCATTGCTGATGGCGCCAACCCGGAAGTCAAATTGTGGAGCCACTGAGCTGCAAACAGTAATTCACGGCCCTGGCCTTGAGCTCCCTAAGTTCTTCTCATTCTTATGGAGCTGAAATATACCCCCAGGAGCTTAGCTGTCCCTCTTATGTGTGCAGACTGGGAAATAAAAGGTGGGGTAAAAAGTACATCTGACAGGAATTTAAAGGTGGCAGAGCAGTTTCTACGCAACGGCAGCTGCTGCCCAACCCCACAGTACAGTACAGTACTGGTAAAATATTCAGTCCAATGAAACATAGTCCAAGGGTGAGGAACAGTCCACCGCTCTACCAAAATAGGAACAACATGGATCTAGAACTGAAAGAGGGAAAGCATGCAAGTTGCAGTGCCCCTCAAAGAGGGTCCACCCTACCATTGTAAGTCATGAAGGGCCCCATATGTCACCAGAAGTTGACCCTGCTTGCAAAGGTTCCCTCCTCTCAGTTTAACAACAACAACAACAATTTATTTATACCCCACCCGTCTGGTTGGGTTTCCCCAGCCACTCTGGGCGGCTCCCAAAATAATATTATTTTTCATAAAAAGCGATAAAATATTAAACATTAAAAACTTCTCTAAACAGGTCTGCCTTCTGATGTTTTCTAAAAGCCAGGTAGTTGTTTATTTCCTTGACATTTGATGGGAGGGCGTTCCACAGGGCAGGCGCCACTACTAAGAAGGCCCTCTGCCTGGTTCCCTGTAGCTTCACTTCTCATAGTGAGGGAACGCCCAGAAGGCCCTCGGAGGAGGACCCCAGTGTCCGGGCTGAACAAGGAGGGGGGGGGTGATAGTTCAAGGATAGTAACACCTCTTGAGATGCAAACCCAGAGCTGTCCGCTCTACTCAAGGGAATGGCCAACATGTGATGAGCTCCATGTCCTCCTTGGTACCCTGGATCACTGCTGCCTTGGCCTCCATGGTCCCATATTGGCTGCAGATGGCATAGCTCTGGGTAACAAAGCTGTCTTTTAATATTTGCTCATTTCAGTAACTTTGTGTTTTAGGCAAGTCTGCCTAAGGTCATGCTGAGTCTGCGCACAGCACTATAAAATGGTGCATCTTTGGGCAGGATCTTCTTTTTATAAAAAACTGGAATCCAAAATGGTCTATTTTGCTGATATTGTTTCCTTTCACACATACAAATTTACTGTCTCTTGATTTCCCCCATTCTGACACCCCCAGCGTTGCCATAACAACAGGCGTTAAGAGCTTGTTGACATTGCCCTGTTGTGCTAATTGCACAATTTCCTGCTGCTGTTACGAGCCAGTTGTTCCTTTTAAAAAGCTGAAATTGCTTTTGGCTGGTCCATTTGTTACTTCGCTGCCTCCTTGGGCCTGGGAAGGGGCTTAAAGGAGAGAACAAATTAACCAGAAAAGCCTCAGGGAAAGGTTGTTGAGCCCTGCTGTGAGCAGGTCTAGCTGGCGCATGGCAGGCAAACTGCTCTCCAGCTACCAGCACCTTTCATACCTCCCAATGTATGAGGCTGGAAAACAGGTCCATTTTTGAAACATTAAGTAACCAGGGAATTCATATTGTGAAGAAGCCAAGTGAGAAAGCCACTTCAATAAATATTTAGCAGCATGTCCCATCAAATATCTTTCATTGAAGAGATAAAAAGAAAAACTTGTGGTTCAAAATTTGGTTTGCTAAATGTATTTATTTAGCAAATTTATATCTTGTCTTTCTTCCATCACAGAATTCAAGATACCTTACAGGGAGTTTCCAGGAAGCCTCCCATCCAAGTACTGACCAGGTCAAGACCTGCTTAGCTTCAACAAGGTGACTATTCAACTCTGCTTGAATGGGACTCCTCCTTCCTAATCCCAGTTGTGTTAGAATTGGCTATGGTGGCTCAGTGGTGGGGGATGCAGTTAACACCTTGGCACTCAAAATAGGTCTATATCTGCACTCAAGTGTGATCTGGCTCAGATTAAGCTTTGGGGTGGTGGTGCAGAACCTTCTGTCTTTTGTGCAGCTGGTATGTAGCCTATTGTGGGACGCGGGTGGCGCTGTGGGTTAAACCACAGAGCCTAGGACTTGCTGATCAGAAGGTCGGCGGTTTGAATCCCCACGACAGGGTGAGCTCCCGTTGCTCGGTCCCTGCTCCTGCCAACCTAGTAGTTCGATAGCACCACAAAGTGCAAGTAGATAAATAGGTACCACTCCGGCGGCGCTGCTCTGGTTCTCCAGAAGCGGCTTAGTCATTCTGGCAATATGACCCGGAAGCTGTACGCCGGCTCCCTCGGCCAGTAAAGCGAGGTGAGCGCCGCAACCCCAGAGTCATTTGCGACTGGACCTAATGGTCAGGGGTCCCTTTACCTTTACCTTAATCCAGTGGTGCAACCTAATGCAACACCATCTTCCTCTCTCTCATTATTTCTGCCGCTGACCAACACCATCTATCCAGATCATCTTCCAATGTCCAGCATTTTATTTTAGAAAAAGAAAGTAGGAGGAAGTAATGACCTGTGTTTGCTCCATTCCTCCTGATGTCCTTTTAGGCTTGAGGCCAGCTAGGTTTCGAAAGAAAATAGGAAGTTCAAGATTTGCAGGAGTGAGGTGGAGGGATTCTGCCAACAGGATTTTGTTACTGTCTGGTGCTGAAAGGAAGGCAGTAAAAGGAGAGGCTTGGAAAGCTATTCTGAGTCTTCTGCCTCCAGGCTTGATCGTAGAGGAAAACTCTATTAATTAGTGTCTGGCTCAAATCCACCAGCAGTGTCCACATTTTCGAAGGTTGCTAGATAGCCTCCAGCTCTCAGCTCACCTGATGGACTTCCTTCTCTGGAAACCTCTGGGCCTAAAATTGGCTTTGCTAAGACAAAAAAAGAGTTGTATTCAGCATTTCTGAGTTAATTAGTCTCTCTTCTGTCCGAGACAGTGGACTGCTCTCTCCGGTCAAGATGCCAGAAGGGGTTTGAAATGTTAGTGAGTTAAGGAAACTATGGCAAGGTTTTGGCATCAGCTTTTGGTGACTTTGTCTCTCAGCAATTTGTGTGAATTTCCCCTGAGTCAGAAGGAGAATGGTAGGGTCTGAGGCTCCTGCCCCAGCAGATGACCAGTGCTGCAATCATGAGATTCTTCAGGCTAGTACTAATAATCTTTTGTAGAGTTTGGCCAGACCGAGTCAGAGGTGGTTCAGAAGTGTTTTTGTCAAGAAGCAGGTTTGGAATACAAAATCCTGTTGTGGGTAGCAGTGGAGGGGTCAGTGTATTTGGGGTCCATGTCACTTTCACCTGTGTTCATTCATAAATCTGTTCTGATTCTGCGTTAATCCATTCTGAGTTTTTTAATCCATACAAAAAAAATCACATTTAAACATTATCTCAAATACTCATTTAAAAAATGCATTTGATACAGTTTTGTTTTAGCTGAGAACTGTGCCACATTAGGAAAAGTGCAACATGGATGTTCTGTTTAACACATTAGTCCGGCAGGTGCGGATCAGTTCATTTTTGTATGAGAATTCACAGAGATGGAACTATTCCAGTGCCTCCAGACATGGGGCTTGTGCATCTAATGGGAGGGAGAAATGAAGAGGATGCATTTCAGGTGTGGAAGAAAAGGACTGGGAACTCATGCAGCCTGTTCTTTAGCAGAGCTGCTTTCAGTCCATGTGCCTCCCCCACCCTCCAAAAGGCCATTATGATACATCACTGGTTCCCTGCTGGAATTATGACAGCGCTCCCTCCCCTCTCCCAATAATGTCAAAGGACTCAGCTCAGGTAACACAGAACTGGGCAACCTTTTTCACCTCTAGAGCTGCAACTGGTTCTGGGCAACATTCTAGGCCAGTGATGGGTAGAGCCAGAAGCAAAAGTGGGTGGAGCAACACATGTAAATTTTGCCATCTGTAGGCTAATTTCCTCCTTCTTCTTTGGCAATCACTCGTAACCGAGTAAGATTGTCTTCCATAAACACGGTTTTAACAATGAGTCTGTAAGTGACTGTGGAGGCCAGTTCTGGATCCACACGTCCTTCCACATTGGGGACATTGGTTTCTGGGTGGGAGTTGATCACGGTGTGGATTTGCCAGGCGTGCCTTCCTCTTAGCACGTTTCTCCCTTGAGTCCTGAATTCGAGTGTCTTCAAAGCCCATAATACCTTTGGTAAAGGCTGTTCTCCAACTGGAGCGCTCGCAGGCCAGTGTTTCCCAGTTTTCAGTGTTCATACTACCTTTTTGTAGATTTGCCTTGAGACAGTCTTTAAACCTCTCACCCTATATCCTCCTTCCAGGCAAACAAGAGGCATGATCAGACTTCAGGGATACATTCCAGCCTGCTAAAAAAAACGAAAAGTGAAAAGCAGACACAGTGTGACCCAGGGAGAGTTTCAACAGCCAGATATAGTGGCTTGGGGGGCTGCGTAGCTCTATACCCCCCCCCCCACCTGCAGGCCTAAGGTTTCCAACCCCTGCTCTATTAGTTAAAGGTAAAGGTACCCCTGCCCGTACGGGCCAGTCGTGTCCAACTCTAGCGTTGCGTGCTCATCTCTCTCTAGAGGCCGTGAGCTGGCGCCGTCCGAAGACACTTCCGGGTCACGTGGCCAGCGTGACGAAGCTGCAGCTGGCAAGCCAGCACCAGCGCAGCACACAGATACACCGTTTACCTGCCTGCTATAAAGTGGTACCTATTTATCTACTTGCACTTAAGAGTGCTTTCGAACTGCTAGGTGGGCAGGCGCTGGGACCGAACAACGGGAGCTCACCCCGCTGCGGGGATTCAAACCGCCGACCTTGCAATCAGCAAGTCCTAGGCACTGAGGTTTTACCGACAGCGCCACCCGCGTCCCCAGCTCTATTAGTTACTCTTGTTCTTATCACTGATTTGTTAGGCAGAGTAAAGAGAAGCCACAGGGTGCCTCAGATTTATTTTTTTAATCTGTTTTCTCAATGCTTGGACCCGCATCCAGTCCAGGTACCGAAAGGGTTGGGGAGAACAAAATGGGAAAGAGTTCTGTAACCAGTGTTTGCAGTCCATTTACAAAACATCCTGCCAATGATCCTACTCGGCTCCTGCTGTCAGCAGCGGCAGAACTGGAGCTATTTTAATGAGCTGAGGGATTAAACCAAGGGAAACGCAAATTGTACAGTTGTGCTCTCTGTTTGTTGACGACGCATTCCATGCATCAAGGATCAAGTTCCTTAAAAGAAGTCTGTTATGCCTATCCATTCTACTCCTTTGTGTACAAAATTTTATAAAAATAAAAATAAAATAAAAATAAATAGAGGATCATTCTCATGGGTCTTCATGTACAATTGACTCTTGCATATTGACTGCATTTCTCTGGGTATTATTATTTGTGTGAATGTTGAGGGTGACAGGAGAGGATATATTGAATATTTATATCCTTCCTAACTTGCACTAGCAAGTTTCTTCACTTAGAGTGCATTCCCCCTTTACGCAGCAGAAAACTGGTTGCAGACTCGTGTGAGCCCCTTAAGACAATAAACAATTCAACCTGGCTTGCCCACATTGAGATATGTTCTATTATTCCTGGCAAGACCCCTTTGATCCCTCCTAAAAGAATAAAGACACCACAGTCTTATGTATAAGTAACAAAAAGTAGTTTTACTCACGATCAGGCAGAGCAGAGTGTGATCCCTGAAGGGGACTGCTGGTTGGTAGCCAGCAGTCCAGTCCAGGTGAATCAAGAAGTTCGCAGGACGAAAAAAGACAATAGAAGAGAGGGAAGTGGCTGTGTGACTTGGCCTTTTACCAGGTCTGGAAAGGTCACGCCCACTTCCTAGTCACATGCAAGGAAGGATGCTCCAGCCAGGTGTAACAGGAAGTTCAACTGACTGGACCAACATCTCCTGCATGACCACTCTAGCAAAACAGGTAATGTTGTACTTGACTGCTCCCAGTGGATTACATCCCACATAATTGTTAATATTTTGTACCCCCTTGGCTCAGCACCCTGAGTGAGGGAACTGCCTGAACTGCCCTAAATCCATTGCTGGGAAGGGGATGTCTTCACCCAATATGCATTACCTGTTTGATTTCCTGATGCCTGCACCCCTTTCCGAATTCCTATCCATGAAGCTGTCAACCCTGCATGTGCTGTCATCTGCACGTGTGCAGTGGCTGTCTCAAATGTACACACCTCAGCTTACCTGTGAAGTGAATGTGGCTTAAGTTTTCCAATTGGATGGAAGCTGGTTTGGGGGGAAATGCCTCAGACAGTGTAGATATAGATTGTGGCTAACGTTGTGCGTGCGCAGCTTCAAACACCAATTGTGGCAGTGCGTGGAAGCCAGAGTAAATGATAATATGTATACAGCCTTATACCCATACTGAGGATTAAGTGCGATTGCCCTCTGTTTTCACACTTCAGCTAACAATGACTGGAACAAGGATATGCAATAATTATATCGGAGATCCAAAAGCAGGGTAAACGAGCTGCAGCGTGCATGATAATTTAGTAAGGTAAACCTGAGCTATTCTTTGCCTCGGTACATCCAGGGGAAAAAAATGTTTGTATGAGACTTAAAAAGCACACTCAGTTTTTCTTTTTGGAGATTTCGCTCCCAGCTGGGATCTCCTTTCCTATACGAACATATTTCTTCTGCTTTTATCTGTTAGGAGTGCCAGATGGCAACCTGGAAATTCTGTCTCTCCCCACCCTCTTTTAAATCTGTGACTGAATTGGAATTCGTCTGCCTTTGCCTGTCCATTTTATTCTTCCCCTCCAGGGTCTTATCACCACTCTCCCCTCCACCATGTGGCATAGCTGGAGTCCTGAGAAATAAGAAATAAGACTACCCCCAGACTGGTAGCTCCCCCCGCCAAGTTGATATCTTCATATACTGTAATACAAAATGTCCAAAGCATTTTGGCGAAGAAGTCTTCCCCAAGGCCAGCTGTGAAGTACATCATAATGACTCCCCGCAATATCCACACACTAAAGGATTTTTTTTTAATGCAGGTAGCTGTGTTGTTCTATTATACAGGGGTGTGTATGTCTCCCTCCTGCTCCTGCCCCTCCCAGCAAGGAGCAGCAGTATCCAATTTATTAAACCCAGAAGGCAGTCACAGAATGGTAAACTGGCCACTTTCTCTGACTTCCTTTATGCTAATATGCCCACAATCCATAACAAAACTTGAAAGCCTTGTTATCACCTCCTTCACTTGCAAGAGCAAGGGGAAGTAGTCAATTACTTGGGTGTTCTGGCAGATGACATCCTTATTCCTACACTGGAAAAAGTCCTAGAGTTGCTGTCTCTTACGTTCCCTCTTCATTACATCACTGCCCAGGGACAATATTTAGAGAGCATATATAAATATATAAAAATCATATTATGAATAAAATTTGATGGCACTTTAAACCTGGGTCCTGCTTGGTGACAAAAAGACAGCAGGGAAGTGGTGGCAGTAGTTTCTCCTTCCTTGCTTCCATATTCAGTAAGTAAGGGGAAAGGTTGCCTTCTGACAACTTTGCTAATTGTATTTTCCTCTCCTGCTGTTCTCTGGTGTTCATTCTTCTTCTTTTTTTAAATAAAGAGGCAGTGTCCTTTTTTTCAAGTTCACAGGTTCAGCTCTTTGCCCTTATTATGAAAGAAACCATTAGAAGAATCATTGCCATCGATCATTTGAGTTTCCAAACCGTATTTAGGCCATTTTGCAATTGACCCTGTTTTAGTAAGCAGCCTCCTCTCTTCCTCAGCTTATCTCTAGAGGAGGCAATGTTTTTATAAGCCTTATCTGCGGGCTTAAGTATATGGAATCCTTCCATTGTAGGGGAAAGCGACTGAATGACCCTTGTGGTAACTCTTATGATTTCATGGTGGTGTCTATAATTTATTTATTTATTTCAAATAAATAAATAAATAAATAAATAAATAAATAAATAAATAAATACACCTTAGAGTGATTTCCAAAAAGATAACGGAATGAAACTGGGGGGGGGGGGGGGAGATACACAACCATACAAAAGTTAAGATACCAAAACAGATTAAAATTAACTACACTTTCTAGGTAAAAAAGGCTAAATTCTATGGTTGTGTGACTCTAGCCGGTTCCTGTTCTGCAAAGAACCCATTCACAGCAGTTTCATCTCTCAAAAAGGCCTCCAGAACTGGGCTGGGGAACCTGTAGCCCTCCATAGGGTTGTTTGACTTTGTTAGTCCCAGCCATCATGGCCAATGGCAAGGCATGGTGGGAGTTGCAGTAGCAACATCTGGATGGGAACTGGTTCCCCACCCCAATCTAGAACATGGTTTGCTTGAAAGAATGTTTTCAACTAGCATTCCAGAATCAGAACCAGCTTACAATGTGTCTGTGCAGGGAGCCAAATAGATGTTTAAAGTTGGGGGGGAAATGCAAATAATGGGGGACCATGACAGAAGCATATAAAATTATTTGCGGTGTGGAGAAAAATGGATAGGAAGAAGTCTCTCTCTTAATACTAGACTCTCGGGCTTTCCAGTGGTGCTGAATGTTGGGAGATTCAGGACAGGCAAAATGGAAGTACTTCTGACAGTGTGGATGCACTATGGAATTTTCTCCCACAGCTTTGTAGTGATGGCCACCAGCTTTGGCTTTTGAAGTGGATTGGACAGTCATGGAGGATAATGTGGTCAACGGTGACTAGCCACAGTGACTATGTTCTGTGACCACGGTTGGATGTAGTATGCCTCTGAATACCAGATACTGGGAACCTCAAGTGCAGAGAGTGCTATCACATTCAGCTCCTGCTGCAGGCTTCCCATAGGTATCTGGTTGGCCACTGTGAAAACAGGATGTCAGACTGGATGGGCCTTTGATCCAATCCAGTAGGGTTCTTCTTATGTTCATAGATGGCAAAGCTGATGGAAAGAGGATTGGTGGTCTTGAGTGGAAAAGTCACTAATGAGAAGATTCGTTTGGTGGAAGTAATCCTTTCCTTGACAAACTTCTAGCCCATCAAAAAGCTTTGTTTGGAGAACAGAGGGCTTTGGAAGAGAGAGCTTCCCGTCGTATAGTTCAGTCTCCCACTCCAGCAGGTGGTGCTGTGGCTCCACCTGGAACAATGTACAAGCTGTCGGATGAAGGGGGAAAGAGGCAATGACACCTGTAGCACCTTAGATTTCGCATTTCTGTGAGCTTTTGTTGATGAAACCCTACTTCACTGGGCCATGAAGTGGGAAAGAATGAGGGGGAGATAAGTAAGTGCATATGGGGATAGTGATATCGGGAAAGAAAAACCAGTGATACAGGGGCACTCTATGAGTACATGTGAAAACACCACGCATTGTATTATAGGGATTCACCTAGATGTACGACTCAAGGTGTGATGTGTGCGTGTCACACATGGGTTTGCAAACATGGGTAAGAACGTAAGAAGCATTGCTGGAGGAGGAGGCCAGTGGCTCATCTAGTCCAGCATCCTGCTCAAACAGTGGCTAGTCAGATGCCTGTGGGAAACCAGCAAGCAGGATTTGAGCACAAGGACACTCTCCCCTCCTGTGGTTTCCAGCAACTGGCATTCAGAAGCATTGTTGCTTCCAACTGTGGAGGCAGACCATAGCCATTGTGGCCCTCTCCTCCGTGAATTTGTCTGTCAGGAGTGCATGCAGGAGCCAGGCCCTGTGACCAGTAGGGCTCCACAGGACTGGGGCCTTCCTAAGTTTGTTCTGAAGAGGCAAGGTGCGGCCGCACAGGTGAGGCCGATTGGTAACTCACTGTACCTGGTGGCAAGAGCCGGGAAGGGATATAAGGTCAGCATTTCCCTTTGGCTCTTTGCCACAGCAACACGTTTCCTGCCTTGCTGTGTTTGGCTTCTTGCTTCCTGATCCTCAGACATTGGCTTCTTGGCTCCTTGCTTCTCGACCCTTGGACCCTCGACTTTGTGACTCCCTGCTTCCTGATCTTCGGACCCCTGGCTTCTGGATTCTCGTTCCTGCTCCCACCCTGCCATCTTGCCCCTGGTCCTGACGTCCACAGCCAGGACTTCGATTGCCCGTAGACCGGACCGTGACATTGTCTAATCCTCTTTCAAAGGCACCCAAGTTGGTGGCTATCACTGCCTACTGTGGGAGGGAGTTCCATAGTTTAATTATGCATTGTGTAAAGAAGTAATTTTTTTAACTGTCCCGAACCTTCCAACTTTCTGTTTCATTGGAGGGTTCTAGTATTATGAGAAAGGGAGAAAAACTTTTCTCTGTTCACTTTCTCTGTACCAGGTATAAACTTCACGCACTTCTTG